ATATATCTTATTAACCAAGCGCGAGGGCCGTACTGGGAGAATATCGGCCCGAGGTCTCGACAGTACGGACCGAGCGTAGCGAGGTCCATACAAAAAAGACCGAGGGCCGATATTCTTCCAGTACGGTCCCGAGCAAGCTTGGTTAATAAGAGATTTATTATACGACTGAAGTTCAAAGGGACACTAGTGCGGTATCATTTGGGACCATTCGGGACAGTGCCCGGTCCAATACTGAGAGAATATTGACCGGCAATAGAGCATTTTGATTGGTTGATTTAAGTTATTGGCCCTCTGACTGCCCGAGTCGGGTAATAAAACACTTTATTTCTAACCTATTAACAGTCGATTAAAAAAAACAAACAAACAGGAACTATGTTGTTGGTCTAAACCAACAAACCCAAACAAGGACACCACTAGCAAAACCCATACAGGAACTGTGTTGTTCCTGTTGTTCAACGCAAATATACTATATATTTTTTAATCAATTTGGTAAAGGGTGTACAAATCTAGACAGCTGGGCATGACACACAATCAGGAAACCTAACGTAGGCTAGATCTACATTCTAAACAACTAACTTCACAACAATATACGTGTTTTCTTATAAGAATGAGAAAAAGTAAACAAGTAGGTTGGTTACCATCCTTTCACAGTAACGGAATCTTCATTACTCTACTGTGATGAATTGATCAGTGTTTCCTGAACAGGAGCTCTGTATGTTTTGACTTGTTCCCTGGTAGGGTACGGCAAGGGTGAAGTACCGCTGGCTACTTCGATTACTACAACATCTCTGTGCTGGGAAGATCAATTAAATGCAAAAATTACAAATTGACGGATTCGATTCTGATCAACAGCCACAACCGTGACCGTATACCATATTTACCGTATACTATATCTGTATACCATAATCTGATCATGATCAACAGCCACAACCGTAACCGTGTACCATATTTAAGCGAATAATTCACTCTAAAGTTGTTAATCAATTAGAATTAAACGAGGAGAAAACAAAACGATGAAAGATCTGAACTAAACACCTAATTGATTGAGGCAAAAATATTCTTTTTTAAACTAATTTGATAAATTATTGCCATTTAATCAGTTTGTGAAAGGGAGGAACTAGGCAGTATTATTGTTAACATTACTTTGTTTCAACAAAAAAAAAATTGTAATCCATAGAAAGCATCTCAAAAATGTTCCTGTTGGCTGTCAAGCGGTACTACGGATTTCAAGTTGTTCTTATCACTGATTTAAATTTACTTAAATGACAGAATGCCGAGATTAACACTGGATTTACACTCGATTACCGGTTATACTGTTTTTGTAAAGGACTTGTAACCTTGCTGATTAACCCATAAACTCCCATGAGTGACCAGGACAGAATTTCTCCTTACTATATCATTACAATACCAAGCAGACAAGTTATTGGTTGATCCAATACCAAATTCTCCAAACTCACGTCATAAAAAATTGTAAAGCAGACAGTAAGGAGAATTGCGAATGAAATTTGGGAGTGAAGTGTTAATAGACGCCTTTATGAAATAACCGAGATGTATTATCCGTACCCCTTAATGGTCACTGGGTGTGTTAAGAAACGAGAGCATGTAAACCTTTCTCGTGTTTAGATGGAGCTATAAAAACAAGCAAAAATGCTCTATTTCTTGAATTTTAATATAGAATTTTACATTTTGAAAGAAATATTAAATATTCCGCTGGATCTACATGTGTAAAGACCGACCGAGGTCTATGTTTTGACTTGTCCTCAAAAAATTGGGAACAAGCCAAAACATGAACACAGGTGATCATATAGTGGCGTCCTCTTTATAGTCAACGGTTTTTGTAATCACTCTACTGATACGCTTGTATGTATTCGTAATTATATGCACTCATCACTAACATAAAACGTTGATGTAAATATTCCTTTAAAAATTACTTTGTTGTAGTTATCTTAGATGTAGAGCCTTACTTTGCCGGCTTAACATTTACTATAAATCCATTGTTTTTCGCCAGCCAAGATACCCAGGAGAAAAATTGATTTTTCAAGCTTTGTCTCGACACAAGTGTTGAGAACGTTATCAGAAGCGGTTCTTAGAAATCTAGATAAAACACATTTTAGAGAATAAGCATACCTCCTGTGGCTGCCTAGTGGAGCAGCATCCAGAATATGGATTATCCTTAGGCAAGTTAAGAGTCTTCCCTCTTTTCATGACATCTGTGTAAATAATCACAATTTCAGTACTTGCTGGACCAAGGTTGGAACAAATACGAATTCCTTGACTGAAACACTTCAAATTCACACGTAGCCAAAGTATTTGCAAATAGAAGAAAACGATTATTCATGTTTAAACAAAGCAGAACAAAACACTATACCCTTCATTATAATATTTATGGCCTTTATGTTTCCAATAGCTTCCAATCCTTCTAGGAGTCGCTCCACCGGTATTTGCCGGTTGTTAAGATCTTGTAGTAATTTCTTTGCTGGATTCCTCCTTTTTTCAATCTCAATTACCTCCTCGTGGGAATAAAGGTCAGTAAACATCTTCGCTATCAGAGCTTTGTAGCCAGTGCTCAGTCCATCATTTAAGGAGACACACACTAGCTTTAACGTATCGTGAGAAAGCTCTCCAATCTGCATTATTATTTTCTTTAAAAAAAAAAAAACCACAAGGCGAACTTGAACGAGACTGTATTTATAAAAAAAAAAAAAAAAAAAGATTGCAATGCAAGAGCGTTTTTGTGGTCAAAAGCTCGAATTCTTAATTTTTATTTAAAATCCAGGAGGGAATCAGGGGACGAAGAGGGGTTGAGTCAACTGAACAAACTCTGACATACAAATCTTGGCGAGCGTGTAGTTACCCTGATCGTCAGCTTCGAGACTTTGTGATAGTAACTTCTTACTAAGGTACCTGAAAACGAAATCAAAAGACGCGAAGAGGCCACTTAAAAATAGATACTGCTTAAGTATAAGGATTTAGAATATAAACTGATCGGCGAAACCTTTGCTACAAAAATTGATGACGAGGCGAGTTTACTTAAGGGCACAAATCTTGGTGCAGAGTACACTCGTCACGAAAATACATTTGGAAAACCTTCACCAAATTAAGAGTCAGAGAAAATTATTTGTGACGATTACCGCAAAATTTTAAAATTCAGTTCTCTTCTGTAATCTAACCATGACGATAACGACGGAAATTTAAAAACAGCTGCCTGACTTTCCGTATAAAATAATTCGGCAGCCAAAACTTTCAGTTACCGGAAGTAACTGAAATTTCGTATCAAATCTGTGACTGAAATTTGGAGGTATGGTGAATATATTTGCTAGAGTGGTTTCGTTACCTGTTCCTTTGTATGCAAACTTACCTTTCCATCGACCGATTAGGACTGAACTTGGAAGTGCGTGGCGCTCATAATATACTGAATATTTGATGAAACTTTTCCTTTGACTACGTCATTCCAGTTCCTTATCATTACGACTGTCTCAGCAACGACGGAAATTCTAGATCAGTCGCTCTGACTTCCCGTGTAAAATAATTCGGCAGACAAAACCATTCGGTACCAAGAATAACTGAAATTTCTTATTAAATTTGTTACTGAAATTTGCAGACATGGTAAATATATTTGTAAAATTGGTCTCGTAACCTGTTCCCTTGGAAAGCAAACTTATCTTTCCCTTCACATTTCCTTGATCGTTGATGTTCCCTATGTTAATGAAGGGTCTCCAATTCCTTTTTAACACTCAGTCACGTAAATGCATTTGGCCTTTTCATACATCACGAATTATATTCAAAATTCTTTCACGTTCATTTGAGATGATCATGTTTCACATACAAATAAAAATCTGATGTCACGAATTGACATTTTACCTTTTTCTTAGTCGGGACTAATGTCTTATTCTATTTTTTTCACGAACTTTCACGAGAAAAAAAGTCACCTGATCACACCTCACGTAAAAAACTTAGGGGACCCTCTTAATGTTGCCCGATAGCGTTGTACCAGGGGACTCAGCATTATTTACTCCAAGAGAAGTTTTGCACAGTAGCCCTTTAAACCGAGTATGCTTTGCAGACCTTTTGCAGTCGAGTGTTGATCAACTTCCGGCTTTACTTTAGGAAGAGATACGAGACGGGAGCATATATAAACTGGAAGGTGATTTGATGTTCATCTCCATATTTAAGGGTCTATCCAAGGTGGGAAAGATGGTGGATTTGACTGAACGACGGTTGGACTGGATATATTTGGCTCGATTTGATAGAGCAACATGTAACATGTAAATAGGTTAATACCTTACTTTCATTTACTGCTGCTTTGGTTTTTTTATAAATGCGTGTGAAGGAGACAAGAAAATCAACAAGACAGGGAAACCTGTTCCTTCCAGGAGCGAATTCGAAGATATTGAGAGTTGAGACATGAAAAGAAAACTGTGAACTTGCCTCGAAGGATTGGAGTAATTTCAAGATCCCAACCGGAATCTTGCCCAGCTCTATTGGCCAAAAAGTAAGTTGAAAAGTGGTTTGTTAACGATCGAGTACTACGTTCTCGCAGGATAACGTGTTGTGTATATGTATACTTCGTTCTTATTAACCAGGTGGAAGGTTTGCATGGAAGATTATTGAACAAGTTTGTTGGTGCAGGAGGTCATGGGTATGCAGACCTGTCGAGTCTGGTTGAGAATAGCTATATGACTAAAGAAATAAATGGAACCAAAACGACCAACATCAGATCAATTTGTACTAATTTTTCAAAGCTTGTCTTAAATCAATGTACAGTACTTTACTAGCTCAGATGGAAATTCATGGGGAATATACATCATTCCACAGTCTGTTTTGAGTACACAACATTTGCAGTTAAGGGAGGAATCAGGGAAAGAAACATGAAACTACCTCATCCTTCCCTCGCTGAAGATACAATTTTTTCTCATCTTTGCTTTGGAATTTTTCCTGAAAATTTTGCATCTTCTCCTTTTTTTAATTAAAAAAATGTATAACATAAATGGATAGCATAGATTTCACTCAGACTATCTTGAACACTATGGGAAATTCAAACTTGTCGATTTTTAGAAAGCAAAAAATTATTAGAACAGAGTTTTGAGTCCTTAAGGTAGTCTCTTGTTTTATCAAAGAATTGTTTGCATAATAAACTGTGGGTCAGACAGAAATCTGTGGGCAGTCAGAAACCACAAAAATCAGTAACAGTTTTATCCTTTCTAGATTCTTTGCCATGATGAAGGTGTCCAAATCTTGCATGGGTGGAGCGGATGGAAGAGTGACTAAAGGAGAAGAACATGCTAAGGTAAGCCACAGAATCCAATGATTTTGTTGAAATGAAGATTATAATTTGTACAAATGGCTGTTATTCCCAGTATTTTGCAATGTACAAAGGCAGTGAATTTAACAAAATATTTTCCATACAAAATGAATGTATTGTTCAAACTCCATGTTTATTAATTAATCAGGGAAAAAAATATTAACCAATGTGGACAGATATAAAAAAGGCCTCTAATGAACCACTAGAGTTTTCCCACCAGAAGACATGGAATCTTTTCAGGACCAGATATGAGATTAATATGCATGTGCAAGGACAAAAATTTGTACAACTTTGTGTTGAGTCTGTTTTAAGTCAACCAACTCCTTTTTCTTGCTCTAGCCGAGTTTGATCTTGTTGTTTGGTATCTTGCTTGAATAGTAAGTTGTTAAATAAATTTATATTACCAGAGGTTTTGGAGGTATTACATGTTATATTTTGACAAGCCTGGAGGGTGAGTCAAAATACAAACAATGTGTGAAAATACTAAGCACACACCAAAATGTCTAATAAGTTGTTTATTGTCCACCTGCCTTTTTTTCTTCCAAGTGTTTCTGTTCATTTCTTATAAGCAGGAAAAGTAAAGTGGATAGAGAAATGTAGCATGTGCTGCCAACCATTAGGGGGGTGTTTTTTTATGGTACAAATAACCAACTGTAGAATATCACAGGGTGTTTGTACTCCACTTTGTGCAGCCAAGTAATAATCTTGAAAACTAGAGAAATAACATAAAACCTTGGGCCATACAAATGTTTCCTGCCAAAAATTTTAACATTGTCCTTTTTTTTCTTATTACCCTTTCAAAACCAATGATCAGAACTGTCCTTACATCACCTCTCCATTTGAAATATTTTGTGTTTAACTTTGTCTTCATATGTATTAGTGGTTGAAAATAATTATTTTACCTTACCATACAGATGAACATTGACCAAGTTTACTAGCATTGGACCGAGGAAACTTATCAACCATGGCAATAATTAAAGCAAAAGTGAGGGAGCTCCCTGATCAAAGCTAACTGAATAGAGCAGAAGCCTGGAAGAGTGTGTAATGGCTTTATTCACACATGTAACCTTTAAACCCAAGTTTGACCTCTTGCTTTACGCATTTGCAGTGATACTGTGCACCCTCAAATCATGATGACCTCAAGCAGACTGTGCATGTGCACTGATGGTTAAAATATGGAGAGAAAAGTCCAAAAAGAAAGCATCAAATGAAAAAATGGGAAAATTTATGCAATATCTGAAGAGTAGCATGAAATTTACACTTGGAAGGTATTGGATTTGCAAGACTATCACGCGATCCGCTTTCTACGTGAAGTTTTGGAACGACTCTGAAATTCTAAATCCTGTAGAGCAAAATTTTTCGGTTATCTGATGTGAATCTGTCTAACCAGATATCAAATAGTTCACTTACCTGATAGGTAAAACAAAAGCTTGGATAATGACCTATGAAATGGAAGATTTTCCAACACTGAGAACATTGTTTCCTCTCCAGACACTTTTACGATAATTACTTTTTGACCAATAATCAGATCATCGACACTATCACCTTGTCGCTTTCAATCGACGTTGATATCCCTAACAATTCCTCAATGACTGCAGTCTTGAAAGAAGTTGCTCATCTTGAAAGACATCTTAAGATAACACATTTATGAATTGGACAGAATTGTATTGAATTGTTCTTTCCATTGTTTTACTACATAAATAACTTGAAATAAAACAACATTAAAGAGATGAAAACAAAATAAACATTTAATTTACTGACTTTCTTTGCGCCAATTTTCTCTTTCAGTACTTTTTCTCCCGACCCTTGAAAATATTCCTCACCCCCTTAATTGTCTTGAGGAAATATTTTAATCCCAACCAAATATTCGAAAGATATATTTACACTGAGCTTAAAAACGGTCTCCATTGGCTGAGTTTTGGTGCTTGTGAATATCATAACCATGTTGATCTACCTCCGTAGGGCCTTAAAAATTAGAGCTTCCTTTCACTGTTGCATTTAAGTCATATGTGACACAGTCTATTTCTAATGGAACTAACTGTCATGTCATATGCACAGAAATGTGAAAGCAAGAATTAATTTTAAGCATTTGTTAAATTTGTGATGTCGATATACTTCTTCGTGCATTATTTTTATGATGAGGTATGCTCAAATAAGAGTCTTTGAATCCTTCACGAGACTTAAAACAAAAATTGGTCAGAACAATGTACAAACTAATCTTTTGATTTCTTGGTAGCCTACGTGGCAGGCGTTATTGTGGCGAGCGAATTTTCCTAGCGAAAATTTATGGCCGTCGTCTTTCATTTTAATAAAAGGCGAAGGCTAGGGATAGAAAGAAATGTATACCAAGGGAGGTGAGAGACAGTGAAAAAATAAGGAGAGGGGTGAGGGTGGGGGAGTGAATATTCGCCCCTTCCCGCCCCCTCCCACTGCCTTCAAATTAAACTTCAAATTGAACAGGACTAATTGAGTGAACGATCGCGCGCTTCTTTTAGCTCGCCTTGATGAGACGCCTGCACTACAAGCCAATTTCAGAGTTCAGCTTGGTGGCATGTTGTTAAAGTATCAATCTTGTATGAGAATCAAAACCTTTCATTGCGTGTATATTGGACAGAAAAGGAAGTACTTCCAGAAACAGTCATAATTTTAAAATGCAGCTATCTTTATTATAGTGTCGTGGTGGTGCTGTGGGCAAGAACTTTACTTCAAGGGTGATCGCACCAGGTTCGACCTCGGAAAGGAAGGGCTAAATGCCTTGTTAGTTCTTTTTATCCCTCTCTTCCTCTCGCCCACGATTAACTGATTCATTTTTATTTTTCATTTTTGGAACTTTTCTTAGCCTTTACCGTATTTTAACCTTTTTTTCTTATTCACAGCTCGCAAAACCTTTGCCTTTCTTTTCACACAACTGAAAAAAAAGAATATTATTCTAAAATATGGACTTGATAAAAAAAAAAAAGATCCTACCGTTTTATCGTTAAAGCTCATTTATTTGTACACATGATATGCAAGTTTTTCAGTTTAGTGATATCTATCTCACAATCATAAAAAAATGAAGCAAAATACGTTCTGTTTGAAGCGCACATCAACATGCAATAATGAAAGCAGGAAAATAAACTCATTTTGTGGCTTTCTCCCTGATTGGCTGCTGCTACAATGGGCACAAATCGTGCCCACCTCAATATCTGTGATGAAGTCGTCACTGATTGGTTGTTGTTTCTAATCAATATTCATAGTCATGGAATTCACAGTAAACCACGTTAGTTGTCGATGTGCGAAGACGTGTTTGCTGAGCGCCATGGAAGATGTATGAAGAAACGTTCGCGACATGGAAGGAAGTGTGTACTCTACTTCAACAAAGGTAAATACAGAACTGTTATGCGTCTTTGGCAAATATGAGGGTTTAGTTTCAGAATAGTAGTTTCTGAGTTAACACGTGCGAGTAATGAGTCGGCTTTAGGCGTTGGTGGCAAAAACTCGAATTTGACTACAGGTAACAATATACTCATTTACTACAACTAGAGCTTCTTGACGAGAGCTTTAACCGAATAAGCATAAAATTTTCAAAATAGAGAGCTAATTAGACCATTTTACCTGAAAACCTAGAGAACTTTAGCCTTCGACGAGGCCTAGTGCATAAGATTATTCTATTCTTGAAGGAATTTACTCTAGTCAGAATTTGCTTAGTAATTCATATTTCTTCCACTTGAACCCGTAGAGTTTATGAATCGTGGCAAAATCTAACAAAATAATTTTGTGACCTTATTTAATTCGCATATATATTTATACCTTGCTGGTTATAATAATAGTCAGAGAATTAAGTATTTTGTTACTTAACCCAAATTTGGCCTGTTGCTTATCAGTGAAATGTCATCTGTGCGAAAAGGAAAGCAACTGAACTGTTGACGAAGAGGACAACTGGAGCCACTGGAATGAAGAAAAGATTCGACAAAGATAAGAACTTTATATTATTATATATCTGTAGTAAAATGGTGACTGAACTTATTATTCAATAAATTCACTCTTGATTGTACCAGATAGATCAGATCTGTAAACTACCTACGTTGGCTTAAAAAAAAAATAACACAGTAAGTAGATAGGGCGGACGAAAAAGTTCAGTGAGGTACTTATTGTTTTGCATATCAACAAGCATTTAAAGCGATTCTGAAAGACACAAATTCACTGTAATATAAAAACGATACTTCTTTCAAAAAAACAAAACCGTACATGGCACTTTTTTTCTTTGAGCTTGTGGAACAGATTTCTCGGGCTAAATTTGGTTCGTTAAACCAAAAACAACGACGAATTTGCGACTTAAAAATTTCGCCAATTTACTCAGTTTAGATTTTCAGAAATGCAAAGCACCCAGTACCTCAAGTCACCATAGGTTATTACGTTGCTATAGTTACAACCTATTATGGTCGCAAAGAATGAGTCTAAGGTGGAACTGCAAGTCAATTAAGAATATAGGACACTGTTTCCGAAGTAAATTGTCAGTTTCTTTGAGAAAGGAGCATCGATTGGTTATAAACTGAACACTAGAATTAAAAGAAAATCAGCGCAATTTTTCCATAGAATTTTCAAAGGCGTTAATGAAAACATTTTTTATCAAAAAAAGGGAAATGATTAGCCCCTTACGACTGATTATTGCATCAATTTTCATAACGTGCAGTTGACAGTAGCACCTTAGTTACATAGATCTCTTTCTGGCCATAAAGTTATAAATGACATCCGACAAGAGAACTCAATGGCATTTTTCATTCTGTTTCCATTTGGCTCATTATGTTTGGAAGATATAAACATACTTTAGATGAGGCGCAGCCTGAAAATTACGCAGAAAGAATCTTGCGTTGAGGGAACACTCGCCGAAATAACGAAACAACTGAATCCTGACGATGCGTTTTATCTAGGAGACTTACAGGATTATCCCGTTGATTCTGCAACACTGTATCAGTCACAAAGTAAAAGTGATTATAGTTAAGGACTGACTGAAAAATTGTGATGTCAGAAAGCGTATCGCTGTCCACTATTCACTTGCAAATCACAGTGTTTACTGGGACTCGACTCGATCTTTGACCTACATCGCTGATCGTTTTCAAGGACCGCTTGAGAAAACTGATTGCCAACATACAATAGACTCATCTCAACAGATGTACAACTACTAGCACCCGACAAACAACCTAGCTTGACATCGACGTAATCGACTGCTTACGAAAGCTTGCTTTCAACATATAACACTGATTTCAACAGACATCAACTACTGCCACTTTACAAACAACTTAGCTTGACATTGCCATGAACAACTGCTTCAGAAAGCTTGTGACTACCATAGAACAGACTCGTTTCAACTGATGTTAGTAACTACTACCACTTTACAAACAAGCCAGCTTGACATTGATGTAATGAACTGCTTAAGAAAGCTTGTTTTCGACGCAGAACAGACTGATTTTAACGAGTGTCAACAACTGCAGGCACATAAAACATCGCGATGTTCAAAGCTGACTTAACATGAACTGGACTGTTACACAAAGTTGCTCCGATTTTCAAAACGTGAATCACTAATAATAAACATGTTCATTGCCAATGTTCTCTTGTCGGTTTAGCTTATTATGAAGCACAGTGTTTGGTTCGGAAGAAATTACAGTGCTATGATTAAATCGCAGAACTACAGCCGCTTAATATTTTATTTGATATTATCAAAAGTCAATTAATCAATAGTCTGGACCAAAGAATTATGCGAGAGAAACTTGTCTTAAAATTGAACGATTTGAAGGGCAGAGAATATTTTCCCTTAATTCCCTGACTATATACAAATTGAGAGATCATTTTAATTTGTAATTTTCATCTTACTAAGTTCACGACTATTTAGAACGTAAGCAAACAAAAGCACATGCAAATGACGATCTTAAAAGAAAACGAGGGAAAAGTATTTTGCTGGGACTATGTGGTCACCTTTGTTTAGTAAAATGTCTTTCTGAATTTCATTTTTCAAACTTCCGTTTCTTAAAAGGAAGTAATCTTGGACCTTTTTCGACCACACACTGTGTTTTATCTTAATCTGTAATTAACTTAGTGTAGAAAAATACTATTTTCCGCCGGCTTTTCTTGTAACACAGGACATAACAGACGCACATGTTTGTTTTTTCAAAAAGGAAAAGAAATTGATTCAATAGCTTTAGAGCAAATTCTCACTCGAATTTTGTCTCTAAAAATTTTAAATCGAGCCCATCAACTGAATTGTTATTGTCTGTCCAAGAAAAACATCTCACTTTTAGCTCGTGCCTTTGATTAAACGTCAATAAAACAGAATAAAAGGATCAATTTAATTACAAACTTACAATCAAAGCAACTTCTTCTCGAAAAACTTCTAAGGAGACATGGAGCCATGCAATTGAATTGTTGTTTTCCCGTAAAAAAACTGCACGGCTTGCTCTTGTATTCAACCCTACTCGGACAGAACATAATAAAAAAGTCAATTAATTTACGAAGTGGTAGAAAACGTAGTAAAAACTTGTTTCAAAACCTTATAGCAGATATCGAGTCAAGCAAATAGTTTTGTTTTACTGTGAAAACAACATTAAAGCTTGCTCTCACGTTCAAAAAAAGACATATTTAGAACAATTTTGAACTAAAGGCAGTTAACAATGTTCAGGGTAATTTGACGAAAACAAGCTTATTTCATCAGAAGTTCTACGCGTATTTAGGTTTCATTGTCCTGTGTTACAAACGAAGGGA